TCTGTTTCCGTGAATACTGATGTTACCTTCTTGCGTTAGAGAAAAGAAAAATCTCTGAATTGCTGCACAGCTCCAAAGCACGTCTGCCAAAACAGCTCCTCCTATATTGCTGTATGGCAGATTTTCAGTATCTGGGGGTACAAGGTTTTTCCAGATTAAAATTGGAGGGAGACATCACACTCACAGTTTTCCTCAGCTGGCTCTCAGAATGATGGACAGGTATCTTCCTTGCAAGTTGGAGACACACCAGTCAACCTCCTCAGCCTTTATGTCTCTGGCAGAAATGAGTGAATGAGTGGGGGGAGCGGGGACAGCAGTTCCACAGGAGAACAGTATAGCAGATGTTTCCCAAGAGGCTGGCGATAGCTTGCTTCTCTTTCTCCTTGGATGATCTGAGAGATAACAAACATTTGTTTGTAATATTTGTCCATATTTTGAAAGAGCCCCTTTGCTAGATCACTATCTGCCGACTCAGATTATCTCTTTCCTTACCTTTTGCTCATCTCAGCCTACCTTACAAGATTGTTGTGTGAATAAAAGGCTTGAAAACTGCTTGGAGACCAAAAAAAGGTTGTCTCTTTAACGGAGACTTAATGGGATGATGTCATTTACCAAGTGAGGTGATGTAACCTCCCTTGCCATGAAAAAGTTCAGCTCTCCATTTCAACGCATGAAGCCTCTATTAAAGGGATGGAACATTTTTCTCCAGGCATGTTGACAACTCTAGATGCAGAATAAAAATCTACTCAACAAACAAAGCCTGAGACTTTGCACCCATTACAATCATTAACTTGCATAACTAGTGAATGGTGTATGTATTTTTTTATGGTTAGATCTGAATTTTACATAATCACGTCTCACTCTTTATTTCCTGTACTTCATGATCCCCTGCACCTCCCCCCCCGCCAAATCTCATGCAGAAAATGGACCCCCAGGTGAGGATCTGCTCATTGCATCTGAAGAAATGGCCTCTAGCACATGATGAAAGCTTATTGCCAGATTAAAATTTGGTTGATCTTGTAAAGTCCCGCAAGACTCATGTTTATTTTAGTCTTGCATTAAGTCGTTGATTTGTTCATGTATCCCAGAACTGTTAATAATAAGGACTGTTAAAACTGACAACTTCCAGGTGGAGTCTGAAGCTCTCCTGGAATGACAGCTCATCTCCGGACTACAGAGATCAGTTCCCCTGGAGAAAAAGGCTGCTTTGGAGGGTGGACTCTGTGGCACTGTAGATCACTGTGGTCCAATGTTCCCTCTAATTTTCCCCCCTACTGAGTGGAGCAGGTCACACAACCTGAGCAGAACAGAACTGCTGTAATCTGAAAATGGGCAGTGCCAGATCCTGTGTGGTTCCAGATTGCTGCTGAGCGGGGCTTCCTGTGTTAATGAGCGGTTGCTCATCCACACAGCTTAGAACAGGGGTGGCCAAACTGCAGCTTGGGAGCCATATGCGGCTCATTCACATATATTCTGTGGCTCCCGGCAGTGCAGCTGGGTCGTGGAGGCACGCCTCCCTGATCGGTCTTCCCTTTCCTAGCCAGTGTTCCCTTCCTTGGGTAGGCTTGAAGGGGGGTGGGGGACAGAGAAAGAAAGCAATTTTAACTTTAAATACTTTCTCGAAGCCCCCCACCCCCAAGCCAACAAAAACACAGGACAAATAAATATCATTATCAGTATCTGGTTTTACCCTGTTTGTTTTTATTCTTGGCAGTCTCATTTAATGTTAATAAAAAGCAAATTTACATATTTTCCAATAAAAACGAGTGTTATATTTTCGTGTCTTGCAGCTCTCAAACATCTGACGTTTATTCTGTGTGGCTCTTAGGTTAAGCAAGTTTGGCCACCCCTGGCTTAGAGGGAACAATGTGGTCCCTTTCCTCCCTAAAACCCACCCTCCCCAGACTCCACCCAACCCAGAGTTGCAAACCCTAAACCAGGGGTCATTTCGTAGAAAAAGAGGTGCAGGAGCACAACTCATTAGCATAACTTATTTGCATCATGACATCACTGGAAGTGTGTCAGAAGGCAACACCCACTGCTCAGGCTCCTCTGGACTGTTTTGGATTGCTAGCTATTGGGGGGGAGGAGAACATGCAGATCTGTCCTCGCAGAGAGGGAGAGCTTGTATCTGAATAAGACTTGGTCTTAAAAGTGCCACTGGACTGTTTTGGACCAGGGGGCGGGGGGCTCTGCAACCTACCTGGCTGCTTCTTGCTCTGACTGAGGGCTGCTGGGCGCAGGGGGTGGGGCTTGTTGCATGTGCCCGCCCCCTGGGCTCTTTACTGCCGGAGCTCCGCTCCTGTGCGCTCCTGCAGGAAATGACCCCTGCCCTAACTGCAAGGGTTACAAAAAATGGTAAAAAAACTAGTCCTGTTTGGCGTAAGAATATAAATTGGGTGGTAGTAGGCTTGGGTGGAACTCTGTTTTCACCAGAGATGTTTAAAATGTGTACTGCTGCTTAGTCCGTGTCTTTCTTTACCTCAGGACCGGACCCCCAGCTCATCCCCAGACGACCCCACTGCCTGGTGTCCCACTTGGGCCTTTTTAGCTGCTCCCTCAGCTCCCCACTGCTCAGCCAGCTCACTGGAAGCCTATGAGTCTGTGGGGATGTTCCAGCTCTGGAGCGGCAATGAGGCACCACCCGGCTCCCACAGCATGGCTTTTGGCTTGCCTAAGATGCCATACCAGATGGCATCAAGCGCCAATGGGGGCCTTGCCCACGAACTGCCGCTGACGCCACCGGCTGAGTCTCCGTACTCCTTTGAGCTGTCGCCCGTCAAGATGTTGGCCCCCACTGTGCCCTCCTCATACGCCTTCCAAGAGGCCCACCAGGACTTTACTACTTTTTTACCGGGCCCCAGGCCTCTAGGCCCAGCAGGCCCCGGCTCCACATCCACTGAGGACGCTCCTTGGTGGAGTATGCAGCAACCGGGCAACTTCTCTCTCGGCCGGCCACTGGTTCTCGGCCCACAGCCGCCCCTCGCCGCCCTCCTGCAGGGATCTCCCAAGGGGCTCTTGGGTACGACCCGCCGCTGCCGCCGCTGCAGGTGTCCCAATTGCCAGGCAGCAAACGGGGCTAACGAGGAGCCGGGCAGGAAGAAACAACATGTGTGCCACCTGCCAGGTTGTGGCAAGGTCTACGGCAAGACGTCCCACCTGAAGGCCCACCTGCGTTGGCATGCGGGGGAGCGCCCTTTCATCTGCTCCTGGCTCTACTGTGGTAAAAGCTTCACCCGCTCCGATGAGCTGCAGAGACACCTCCGGACGCACACGGGAGAGAAGCGCTTCGGGTGCCAGCTGTGCCCCAAGAGGTTTATGCGGAGCGACCACTTGGCCAAGCACGTCAAGACCCATCAGGGGAAGCGGGTGCGCAGCCTGGCGGTGATGGGCATCAAGCAGGAGTGATGAAGGCAATCACGGAGGGGGGTGAAGGGAAAGGAAGAGCCCAAAGAACAGAGATTGCTTTGGGGAGGCAAGGAGAACTCCGTGGCTCAGTTGTGCTAGCTCCATCCTCAGGCCTTATGCCGCCGCTCTCCATTGCAAACGATATGGGTTTTATACCTCTGACCATCATGGCTTTACCCAAAGAATTCTAGGAATTGTGGTTTGGTGACATGCTGAGGATTGTCTTGGGGAGATCCCGGGCCCTGCTTCTGAACTACATTTCCCAGGCTTCCGAGGGGCTGACTCTTAACCTGGTTTGAGTCTGTAAGCAGGGTAAAAAGAAAATAATTTAAATTTCAGACCAGCACAGGGCGTGAAGCAGGGCCCAAAGAAGAAGAAAGGAGGTGCTTAGGGTTGCCAGCAAACTGGAGAGAAAACATCCCTTTCCTTTTAGTAGAGGATTAATGGAATATTAATGACTAGGTGATATTATTTACCTCCATGCCATGGAATGCTTCACCGGCCCATTTCCACACATGAATCCTGTGTGAATTCACACACAGGACATTTTTCTCCAGGTTGTTGGCTACTCTAGAGGTGTTACTTTCTTATTGGTACTCACCAACCTGTACCTAGGGTTATCAGCTTGGCCAAATGGTCCCTCAAGCTGTCGCTTTAATATCAGTTTGCTCTTGGTGCTAAATGACAATTTAGATACAGCGGGTATCTCAGAAACATGGGGAAATGGGGAAAATCTATGGGACACAGGAATTTCTGGGTATAAGCTCTATAGGCAGGACAGAGAGAGATGGGTGGGTGGGGTGTAGAATCAAGAGGGCTTCGAATCAATAAGACATTAGGGAACTGAAATCCCCAACAGAAATTATATGGGTAGAAAATACTGGGTCCTAAGAATTATTTAAAATGGCAGAGTACTGTCACCCACCTGCTCAAACCTTTAAGGCTGATATTGAGATGGAGAAGGAAATAAGGGAGGTGACTAAAGCAGATAATGATACTGGGAGACTTCAACGACTGTCACATTGACTGGGTAGAAAGAAAACGACAGAGACCCAGCAACTCTATAGAACAAGACAAGACAAAAAGTTGCTGTACAAGTTCAAATTCTTATGCAAAATGTTGATAATTTAATACATGTTATCTCAAGAAGCTTAGTACCAGATAGGAGCCCTATATGGCCGCTTTATGAATTGACTTTGTGAACAAAAGGAATGACCACAAACTGAGATGTGATAAAGACTTTGGTCGAAACGAACGGCTGAAATCTCGAGCAAGTTCGTATCGTGTCGGGACTTCGGTCTCCAGACACACACATTGACTGGGTAAACATATGCTCATTAAGATGTAGAAGTGAGATTTCTAAGCATCATCAGTGACTGTTCACTGGAATAGTTGGTCACAGACCCAACAAGAGGGGTTGCGATCTTGGATTTGGTTCTGAGCAGGATTTAATACCTGGTGAGAGATGTGGAGAAGTTGTACCAGTTGGGATTCTGAGAACAGTAACCACAATGCTATTAAGTTCAGCATTCAGGTCAGTGGAAAGTTACCCCTAAAGTCCAGAACTATAACATTTTATTTCAAAAAAAGGGAACTTTACAAAAATGAGATCAGTTAACAGGAAGCTGAAAGGGAAATACAAGAGAGTCAGATCCCTAGAGGATGCTGGGAAGCTATTTAAAACCACACTAATTGAAGCCTAGATAGAATGTATTCCAAATCTAAAAGAATGTCTGCATGGTTAACAATGCAAGTCAAGGAAGCTAGAGAAAGTAAAGAGGCTTCTTTTAAAAAGTGGAAGGGCTGCCCCAATGAATTGAACAGAAGGGACCACAGGCTCTGGCAAAAGAAAGAGAAGTCGATAATTAGGCATACAAAGAGAGATTTGGAAAAGAGGGTGCTAAAAGCATTAAGACAAACAAACATATCTTTATATCTGGAGCAGGAAACTAGCCAGAGAAACATTTGAGCCTTTGGATGACTAAGGAATAAAGAGATTGCCAAAGGAAGTTGGGGAGATGAATTTTTTGCTTCTGTGTTCACGGAGGAAAGTGTGGGACATACACCCGTGCCACAGACCCTATTTTCAGGAAGGGAGTCCGAAGAACTACGTCAAATTGAGATGACGAGAGATGTTCTAGACCTATCAGGGAAATAAAAAACAATACATCTCTGGGTCCTGATGCCATATACCTGAGAGTTCTTAGGGAACTCAAATGTGAAATTGTTGGTCTACTAACCCTTATATGTATCCTATCAGTAAATTCAGCTGCTGTACCAGAAGACTGGAGAGCAGCACATGTGTTACACTGATTGTAAAGAAAAAAGTCCAGTGGGGAACCAGGAACTTACAGGCCAGTTAGCCTAATGTCTGCCTCAGGCAAATTAGCAGAAACTGTAATCAAAGATAGGCACAAAGAGGAACAAAGCCTACTGGGGGGAAATCAGCATGGCTTCTGCCTTACCAACCTTTAGGAGTTCTTTGAGAGAGCGAACAAGCATGTAGACAGCAATCACCCAGTAGGCAATCAGGGCTCTTTTTGTAGAAAAAGCCCAGCAGGAACTCGTTAGCATAATAGACCACACCCAACAGCAGAAACCCATAAGCATGTTAGGCCACACCCCTGATGACACACCTCATTAGCCTATTAGGCCGCACCCCCATGTAACCAGAAGTGCGGTCATCCAGCTACTCCCACCTTTTGCTTCTTATTCTGCTGACCTTGTTTGTTGTCAAAACCCAGGGCCTTTTTTGTAGCAGGAACTCCTTTGCATGTTAGGCCACACACACCTAACGTAGCCAATCCTAATGAGTTCCTGCTGTTGGGTGTGGCCTATCATGCTAATGAGTTCCTGCTGGGCGTGGTCAACTTGGGAGCCAGCAGGAACTCCGTTCCTGTGCGTTCCTGCCTAAAAAATAGCCCTGGGCATTATATACTTGGGACTTTCAGAAAGCTTTCAACAAGGTACCTCAACAAACATTCCTGAGGCAATTAACATCTGAGTAAACACAGCAGTCATGGGATAAGAGGATGGGTTCTCTTACAGATTAAAAATTGGTTACATTAATTAAAAATTGGTTAAGTGATAGGAAGGAAAGGGTAGGACTAAACTGACAGTTCTCAGAATGGAGGGAAGTAAGCAGTGGAAGCCCCCAAGGATTGGTATTGGGGCCGGTACTATTTAATTTGTTCACAAATGGTCTGGAACTGGTGGCCAAGTTTGCAGATGACACAGACTTATTCAGGATGGTGAAAACCAAGGCTGACTGTGAAGAGCTCCAAGAGGACTTCCACTAACTGGGTGAAGTTCAGTAGTGGTAAGTGCGAGGTGATGCACATTGGGATGAAAAATTCCAACTTCAAGTATAGGCTAATGGGGGTCTGAACTTGTTGAAGACAGAGGGGAAAATATCTTGAGGTCATAATAGTTCAATGGCAGTGTCAAGTCAGTGTATCGCAAAAAAGGCATCGCAGAGCTGGGAAAAGTACACAAGAGGGCAACCAAGATGACGCTGGGGTTGGAGCACCTTCCCTATGAGGAAAGGCGGAAGAGTTTGGGACTCTTCAGCTTAGAAAAGAGACAACTAAGGAGGGACAAGACAGAGGTTTATTGAGTTATGCAAGGGGTGGAGAGAGTTAACAAAGAGAACCTTTTCTCCTCCCAAAATACTAGAACTTGAGGGTATCCAATGAAGCTGATGGGCGGTAGCTTCAGGATAATCAAAAAGAAATACTTCTTTGTACAGCGATTGCTTAAAATGTGGAATTAGCTGCCAGAGGGTGTAGTGATGTCAAGCCACAAATGGACCACAGTGACTGACCAAAGGTTGCACCCCACCAATGTGCACTGTGGAAAAAGATTTCAAGCCACAAATGGACCACGGTGACTAACCAAAGGTTGCACCCCACCAGGGCTATTTTGGGCAGGAACGCACTGGAACGGAGTTCTGGCTGGCTCCCGAGTTGGCCACGCCCAGCAGGAACTCATTAGCATAATAGGCCACACCCAACAGCAGAAACTCATTAGGATTGGCTACAGTAGGCGTGTGTGGCCTAACATGCAAAAGAGTTCCTGCTACAAAAAAAGACCCTGGGTTTTGACAACAAACAAGGTAAACAGAATAAGAAGCAAAAGGTGGGTGTGGCTGGATAACCACACTTCTGGTAGCATGGGGGTGTGTCCTAATGTGCTAATGACCTGTGCTGGCAGGGGCGTGGCCTAATGTGCTAATGAGTTTCTGGTGTTGGGTATGGCCTATTATGCTAATGAGTTCCTGCTGGGCTTTTTCTACAAAAAGAGCCCTGCACCCCACCAATGTGCACTGTGAAAAAATTGATTCTATTCCAATTACAGTCCACAAACTTGCTTCTTTTTTTGTTCCTTTATTTTCTGTCATGCAGTGCTGCTGCTGCTGCTGCTTCCAGACAATTGCCATGCGACTAACAGATTTCCTAGGTAAATATTCTGTTTCCCCCAATGCTTCTGAAGGGAAACACAAGATTAACTCTGAGTAGGAGGCTTAGAGCATCGGCTCCATGTATAAAAAGTGATCTGACGAAGCATTGGGGGAAATGGAATATTTACCTAGGAAATCTGTTAGTCACATGGCAATTGTTTGGAAGCAGCAGCAGCACTGCATGACGTTAAATAAAGGAACAAACAAAGAAACGAGTTTGTGGACTGTAATAGGAATAGAATCAATTTTTTTCACAGTGCACATGAGAGGGTGTAGTGGTGGCTACGAGCATAGACAGCTTTAAAAAGGGACCTGGACAGATTCATGGAGGATAGGTTTATCAGTGGCTACTAGCCATGATGACTAAAGGGAAACCCCACGTTCAGAGGCACTAAGCCTCTGAATCACAGTGCCGGGAGGCAACATAAAGGGAAAAGCCTCCGCCTCTATGCCCTGTTGTTGGCCTTCCAGTGGAACTGATTGGCTGCCGTGTGAGACAGGGTGCTGGACTCTATAGACCACCAGTCTGATCCGGCAGGGC